AGTGTGTGAATTACCACAGGAATTTAGGACTTCTGTGGATATTCCTCTACTCCAAGGGTTCCCAACCTTGGGTCCCCAGATGTTATTGGACTACAGCTCTCAAAAATCCAGGCCACCATTGCTAGTGGTGAAGGCTTCTGGGAGTTTTAGTCGAAGAACATCTGGGTTACCCAAGGTAGGGAATGACACTGTTCTAGACACTCAATGTAGGCCTACTTACTAGAAAGTACCGTGTTTCCCCCAAAATAAGACAGGGTTTTATATTAATTTTTGCTCCAAAAAATGCATTGGGGCTTATTTTCAGGGGATGTTTTATTTTATAGTCATGTCATCTTCTGGCTGCTGCACAATGGTGGAGGCCGGGGTTTCACTTAACTGGGGCTTATTTGGGGGGTAGGGCTTATATTACAAGCATCCTGAAAAATAATACTAGGGCTTATTTTCAGGTTAGGTCTCATTTTCGGTGAAACAGGGTATTTATTTATTTATTTACATTTCTATCCCACCCATCTAGACCAAGGGTCTACTTTGGTCTGTTTACAAATTTAAAAACTTCTTGCATAGCTGCTGACACTGAAGAAAATAGACCCTAGTGGCCAAGCGCACAACTGTAATTTTACTCAGCACTTCATTCATGCTTTGTAAATGAAAGAACTCCAATTATCTCCTTCATTTTGATGGAAAGTACAGAGAGATTAGCCTTAGTTTTCTAGATGCAGCATTTCCTAAGACATCTTAAATGAGTTGTATCTCAGACCAAACATGGTAGAAACTTTGCAAGGATTTTTTTGCAGTGGCTTTTCTTCCAGTTTAAAGAAATAAATAAGAATTTACCAAACAAGTTCCCAAAAATGGAAGGTATTTTACTCTCTCTCTCTAATATATTTAGAATAACGTGTCATTTCATACCAGCTTCTGATTCAACCTGTTGCTATAGAACTAAGAAATAAATAATGCTAGTTCCTGCTCATGAATTTATGTGCCTCGAGTTTGAAAGTAAACTACAGCCTTTTGACCGCTGCTTGGGAAAAGGTTGTTTGGTTGTTTCCTAGCAGCTTTCGTCCTGTTCACAAATCCATCAGGACTAGCCTGCAGTTATGTTATAATTAGGGCTGGTTTACTCCTGGAGATGCTGTATGTTGTAGTGAGTACATTAATTTCAATGAGGTTTGTGTGATGAATGTGAGAGCAAGCCCCATTATTAATAGAGATCACACAACAGCAACACTTACGGAATTGCTCCCCACCTCTCCAGACACTTCAGCTTAAAGCCTGTTTTCCAAAGCTGTAGCTATTTTGGTAAAAAGTGCCATTCTACTCAGGCACAAGCTCCACTGAATTGAACGAAATGTATAGCCAGATGCATATGTGTGTATGGGGTTGCAGCCTTAAGCTTAAAGGAAGTATGACCTTGCCTTGGTTTTTTCCGCCTTGTGACCAGTAGTGCCTTGTGGCTTTTGCAGTTCAAGTGTCATGATAGCTCTGGTTTGAAAATGCCCATGTACACACACATTACCAGAGCAGGATTTGTATATGTTGTCTAGAGTGGGAGAAACCCAGTGTGAACTTCATATACCTGAGGGTACAAGTGGATGTTAGCACGTAAAGGCATGGTGTCACCACATAAAAATTATATCCTCGGTGTCAGATGTGAAATGGAATTAATGACATTGCACCATCTTACCTCATCACAAATGAATTCTTCTTCTGACCTGATGGCAGTTAGTGATGTGGGGGTTACAGGATGAAACCAAAACAGCATATCGGCATGGTCATCTTAGAACTTCAGAGCTGGAAGGGACCGCATGGCTCATTGAGTCCATTCCCTGGCAGGGAGGCCAGAGACCTAAACCACTCAGCTATCGAGAAGGTGTAATGGGCCAAGACCAAGGTTCCCTCTAAGGTCCACCACCTGCCCCTTCCTGCGTGGTGTTCCTCCTCTTCTGTGCATCAACAGAGATTGTTTTCGGCCTCTTTGGCTCTGGTTGCAACAGAACCCCTGCTCGGGGGCGAATCGTGTGCATGGGGGTGAAGTCATGGACACTAGGGGAGAGCTCCATCCAGTAGGGCTGAAAATTAGAGGGAACATCGGGGCAGACTGTGCTTTAGATAATATCGACTTCTGACCTGCACAAATTGCAATAATTTGGGAAATTGCGATAATTTTGGGAGGAAAATCAATTTAGGAAGTAATCGGAGGAGAAAACCTCTATTATTTGCCCTTCCCCAAAGTTTTAGATTCCCCCCCCCAATTTTTTAAGGTGCCTGGATATGGTGCTAAAAACGGCCTTGGGAGGGTTGCATGTGAGCCATAGGTGGCTGTTGATCTCCCCAGTATAATTCTCTGCTCTATCCCATCAGCCCTAAGGCTTTAGTGATGCTTTATTTGCATTGTTTCTCCTCTTAAATCTTAGGAAAGGTAAGTAGATAAGGACAGTATTCTATTGCAGAAACACAAAGCAAACGCGCAATCAGGTAAGCATTGCCCCATTTTGGCCAGTTCCGTTGTTCTGTGGCTGTTATTGCACTGGTTGCAAAATTGGTTGCATACCAGAGGGGCTACCAGAACAGAAAGTTAAGGTTATATGATTGTTCTTCCATTCTGTGTTTCTGCCACAGAATGCTGACCTAAAGGTCTACTTTGCTTCCCTTGCAGTCCAATCATTTCCAGTAAAGAAGTTTGCAACTCCTTTGTTTGTTTGTAGCACATGGTTCTCCACTGGTGTCATTTCTTTAACAGAGTTTCTTTTCTGTTGGCAGTGCCTATTTATGTTCCGTTCCTTATTGTTGGGTCTGTTTTTGTTGCATTCATCATCTTGGGATCTCTGGTAGCAGCTTGTTGCTGTCGATGTCTGCGACCCAAGCAAGAGCCTCAACAGAGCCGCGCTCCTGGAAGTAATCGGATAATGGAGACCATCCCCATGATTCCAAGTGCCAGCACCTCCCGAGGGTCCTCCTCTCGTCAGTCGAGCACTGCTGCCAGCTCTAGTTCGAGTGCCAACTCTGGTGCCCGGGGTGGCCCTACCAGGTCACAAACCAATTGCTGTTTACCTGAAGGGACCATGAACAATGTGTATGTGAACATGCCTACCAACTTCTCAGTACTGAACTGCCAGCAGGCTACACAGATTGTGCCCCATCAAGGTCAATATTTGCACCCACAGTATGTGGGATATGCAGTGCAACATGACTCTATGCCCATGGCCCCTGTGCCTCCCCCTTTCCTGGATGGTTTGCAAAGTGGATACAGGCCAATTCAGTCTCCTTACCCCCACAGCAATAGCGAACAGAAGATGTACCCTGCAGTGACTGTGTAGCTTTAAGCAGGGCAGGATGGAGTGAAACACACACACACACATACAAAGACACAGAAGCAAAACAGATGAGCAAAAATATTTCTGCGACAGGCTGTGAATAGAGGAGAAATGCTTCTGGATGAATTTTGCCAAACGTAATTTGTAAATAATTTTGCAAGGCTCATGCATGTCAGACTGTATTTATAAACAGTTTCCTTTTCATTGGGTTTGGTTGCCAAAAAAAAAAAAACCCTGTAAGAAGATATGATAGAATTAACGTTTCCAGATAATGCTTCCATTCCAGTGCATGATTTACAGAGGCAATGGATTATAGAGAAGAGACATCTACATTTCAGTTAGACAAGTGTGCAAGGGAGTGATTAAATGTCTGAGCCACTAAGAGCCCTTCAGGTGTTTTACAGTCAACAGTGTTTTCCCAGTCAATAGAAAATACTCTGTAACATGGTGCGAGATAATATTTTAGAATTTGTCTTTTCTTATCCCTTTGCCCTGAGTCTAATGACACTTCCTATTGCTGAACTGACAATCACGCTAATGACAAAACAACTGAACAGTGCAATCCTTGTTAGTGATATCTGTCCTATGAATGCGAAACTATAGGGAGGGGCCAGAACATAGTGGCTCAACACAGGTTCAATCCCTGAGGTTTCCAGTTGGATCAGGAGAAGATTGAGTAGCACATGCCTGGAGAAAACTTCTGTATGAGACCCTGGAGGAAGGGTTGTTCAACCTAGACCACGCTGGACTAGTAATTTGACTTTGTAAAAGTTACATAAAAAGTTCCAGAGCTGCTTCTTTTAAAACAGGATAGGGCAGCCTTCAGACTCCAGAGGCCATACATGATTATCCCTGGAACTTAAGTGGTTGCCTGTATTTACACAGCACTATCTGCCCCAATGTTTTTCACAAAAAATTATTTTAAACCAAAAAGCCCCCTTACACCCTCTTGTGGCTGGTGGTGGGGAGCAGGGTTGCTGATGTTGTGCCGAACATGATATGGTTGCCCCACTGTCCTTAGAGGGTACAAGGGGACATTTTGAGACACGTTTCCCCCCCCCCAAAAAATACGTTAATTTGAGGGGTGTCAGATTGCTGGGAGACTGGATTTTGGCCCATCAGGGCCACATACTAAACTTTTCCAATCCTTGCTTTAGAAGAAGTGTGCAAACATTCAGGGTTTCTCAGAAGTATCACTGCTTCCCAAGGAAAGTTGAGTTGGAACCACCTCTTTTGATCTTCTGACAGGCGTCTGAAACTATATTGTACATAAACTACTTCTGGTCTTTAAGAGTGGCTTTTGGAGAATGTTTAAAATCTTCTTTTAAAGAAGATTTTGAATTGGTTTTTAAATAGTGTTCTTAATAATTTAATTGTCCTTTGTGAATTGCTTTGGTGAGCAGAAATGCAATAAATATGATAAATACATTTTTTTAAAAAACGTAAAAGCATTAGAAATTAAAAGTAACACTACCAAAATATGAAAAGGGCATGTTATCTTGATAGAGTTCCACCTTTGTATAAATTTTTACTGTCTTAGCAAAAGTTGTGCATTTGGGGGTCTTTGGGAAAAGTGAAACCCTCAAGCAAACGGCACAGCCCAAGGGATATTGCACTATATTTGAGTGACTCCATCTGTCATCAGCTAATTTTCTAGCAAGTGTTTTAAGAGGAACAGAAGTTCTGTGTTAATTGTTAATGTATTTCATGGTTCAAAAATCCAGCACTCTTTAAGATTTGCTTTTCCATTTTAAAATATCAGTATGTAGCAATAAATTCAACATGTTGTTTACTGAAGCTTGATGCTTGTAGATTAAACACTGTGCAGATATTTTATATTTCCTTCAGAATCTTCTGTTTACAAATAACAAATGCACAATAATGAAATACAAGTATACATATCATACCAGTATGATGTGTATGATCTGGAGGACCTTGTGTACTTTTAATATACCTTTCAAACTCTTTCATATGTGCCCCCATAAGAATTCGTCTGTCTGTTTTTGTTGGTTGTCATCTTCAAAATCCTGCAGTGCCTCTAGATTATTTGTCAAAAAGAGTTTTTTTGCACTCACCCTATTGTGTTTGGTTAGTAACATCTTGGTCTCAACTTTGAGAGGTACTATATGGGATTTCTTGCAGAGGAATGGAGCGCTACGCATTTAGTGTGGGAGGAAAGTGATGGTGCAGAGGAGGTCACTAAATGGGGTGCTGGACTTTTTTTTTCCCCTTAGGAGATACCCTCATAAAATTGATGTTAACTTTTTCATCTGAGAATAAGCTAATACTCTAGGGCTGTGATCTTATTCACAGCTATCTGTGAGTAAGACCAATTGAACTCAGTAGGATGTAGTGTACTTCTGAGTAGAGGCACTTTGGATTTCGCTATTCTCTCAGAATTCTCTGTATTCCTTGCACATGCCCAGGTACTGTAGTTACATGAAAATCAGGTGAATCTTTTTGTTTACTTGTTTTAAGAAATGAGTAAGATGAATGGAAAATATATAGGAATTTTCAACAAATGGGGGGGGAATGCTTTGAGTTGTAATTAAAAGAAGTTTGTGATATGTGGTGTTTTATATGTCATGTATAATAATGTAAAACCAATGTTACTGTTTGGTATAATTTTTTAAATTTCTTAAAGGGCACTTGAGTGATTCTTACAAGTGAAAAGAAAAGATCTTTTGTTTCATAATAAATATTTTATGGTGTGAGATATGTTTTTTTTAATTCCTCCAATCACTGTTTATTTGCTTTGATTTTTGTGTGTCTAGGTCATAATCGAGCCCTAAGTTTAGAAAAGTCACTTTTTTTAAGTCTGTGATCCCCAAACCCTCCAACTGAAATACTACTACTAATTCCAAATTTTGATCAAGCCAAAATTTAAGTACTGATAAATCCCATTGTTTTAAGTAGAAGCACTGTGACCATTTGCATCGGTTGTCTGCTGAAACAAAGGGATTCTAAATACGTCTTCATCATGTTCAGCTAATGCATTTATATAATAATATTATATATTAATCAGGAGCAACAAATTTGGTCAAAAGTAGAATGTTGGTAAAATAATACTGAACAGAGCTAGACTCAGAGGGTCTTTGTCATAAGTAATCATGGTTGCTGTTACTCTGGCAGATTAGATAAATGCATGAAGGAATTTTTGCTTTATTTTTCACTATTGACTATATTGGCTGAGGACGAGACCTGCATTCCAATAAAATATGGTGCTCCACACTTCACAGCCAGTATCCTGCAACTATAGCTTGAATCTGTTTCTTTTCTTTTTTTAGCCATAAAAAATTAAAGAGAGTCTATTTTGATCCATAGCAATAAGCCAAAAATCCACAGGTGGTCAAATATACCAGATGGGCAGGATATAAATCAAATAAATAAATAAATAAATAAAATAAAACCTTTTATTACTATCAACTATAAAATCACAAATTTGGCATGCTGGAATCACATGACTTCTGACAAATCTCCCTGGGAAGAAGACAATATGGCGAAATTCCTCTTTGCAAATGTAAAAGATAAGAGTAATTCAACTTGGACATCTGGATCTAGCCTTAGGCAAAACACACAGGTTTCTTTGGTGGCATTAGCTGAGATGTAAATAAACCACAGCTCCTGTTTATTAGAGCTGAAGACTACAATTTCTGCTGGCTAGAAATTCTGAGAGTCAAAAGTCCAAAGAAGCTCTTTATAACATTTGTCATTGCTGTTAGGTGCTATCAAATTGCAAACCTAAGAGGGGTTTCAAGTCAGGTGGGGTATTTGTAGAGTGGTTTTACCAGCTCCATCCCCTCAGTGAATTGTCATAGCCAAGCAAGGATCTGAACCCAGGTCTCAGGGGTCCTAGTCCAAACACTATCCATTACATCAGTGGTTATTAACCTTTGTTACTCTGATGTTTTTGAACTGCAACTCCCAGAAACCCCAGCCAGCACAGTTGGTGGTGAAGGCTTCTGGGAGTTGCAGTCCAAAACTCCTGAGTAACCCAAGGTTAAGAACCAGTGCATTACATCACACTGGCTCATAATGTTAGTGGTACAGAAGAGGCAACTTCAGCAACTGTCGCTTTTTCAAGAAGGCAAATTAAGCTGCCTTTGGCATGATCACTTCCACACACCGGTTACAGACATAGGAAATCTATTATCCTGTACACTCTATTGGTGAACAACAATTGTCTGCCATTATAGTTTAATGGATTCTCAGAGGCAGGGCATTTGTATTTATCAGATGTTATGTTCCATCAGGTTGAAACCAACTAATGGATTCTCAGAGGCAGGGCATTTGTATCTATCAGATGTTATATTCCATCAAGTTGAAACCAACTAATGGGGCTTTCAAGGTAATCCAAGCACCCTGTCCACATCCTCAGGTCGCAACAACTGAAACTCATCCAATAAATTATGACATAAGTCTGGAGCACTGGACACAACCATGAGCTCTGCATCATATTTAAGGTGTGGTTTTACCCGTTCCACAGTATCCCATATGAGTTCCCTCGGGTGAATGGCAATTTGAACCCAGGCCTTCTGAGATAGTATCAGATAGTAAATCATGTCCAGACCTGTTTGGGGGACTTCCTTTCCTAGGAAATGAAGCAGGAGTGAAGAGCCTTTGTCCTTCTAGATGTTTTGGACTACAAAACTTATAATTCCTAAATATTGGCAGTGCTAGCTGGGACTTCTGGGAAATCCAGATGAATGGAGTTTCTCTCTCCCAACTCATTACAAGACTGAAGTAGTGAAGAGCTGAGAAGAGAACAAAAGTTGAGCAACCGCCCAAGTGAGTTAATTCCACAAACTATTATCCAGCAAATGCTAATAATGAGGATGTTTTGGAAAGTAGCTGTTTAAAAACATTTGGGTCACTTTCATTTAGATGGTACTGTATTCCTAATTTCTTACCTCATTTCTGTGTTTTGCAGCCTATTTACAGGAAAACGGGACTTTTCTCTGGCTATTCCAGAACAAGGATGTTGTGCCTTAGAGGCAGCCCGTCCTGGAGACCAGGTTTCAGAAACCCTGTGCAAAAGCAAAGAAAACACACCTTTTGGGTGACTTTTCTCTGGCTATTCCAGAACAAGGATGTTGTGCCTTAGAGGCAGCCTGTCCTGGAGACCAGGTTTCAGAAACCCTGTGCAAAAGCAAAGAAACAAAACACACCTTTTGGGGCATAAGATTTCTTTGCAAAAGGAAGTGCTTTCATTCAGAGGGCCCAACTTGCCAAGGTATTCAAGCATGCCTTGCATGCGTTTAACTTGAAGCATGCAATTAAGCCCTGATTATACAGGCGCTAGTCTCCTTGCTGAATTAATGTCTACACTGTTTCTCATGGAAAGCTGCTGGGTTGTAGCTCCCTACAGCATCCAAATCGTTTATGATCTTTCACATTACGGCCTGCACCTGGCAATATCACATAAAGTACCAAATCCTGGTGCTATTGAAGTCTTGTGGGCATTTTGCCACCGACTGCAACTGGAGCCGAAGCACATACAGTTTTTTCCTCTCAGCAGGGAAAAAGGTGGTATAAAATGATATCGTTTGCTGAATAGCTGCCAGACTGTTAAATCTGTATTCTTAGATTCAAGGCAATTTTTGGGCCCCAGGAAAGTGCGCGGGGGGAGGGAGCAGAGCTGATTTTAGTACTAATTTCCACAGTAATGTGTCAAGATAATTACTTTAGCGAGCACAAGGAGAGTGTATGTTTCCATTAAAGACGGATGGCATGAATATTCATGGTGCTGCATTTCCCCCCTTGTGAATATTATAAGTAGTAACAGGATAGCCAGATTGCTAGAAACCTGGATTTCATGTCAGCAGCAGCCACAGATGGAGAGGGTTCCCTTTCCAATTTGTAGCCAATACATTACAATGAGGGGACAGGCTTATAAAAAAGCATAGAAATCATAGTGAACTCAGCTTGTGTAAGACACCCCATAGTTCACTTGATAACTTAATCTCTGTATGGCCAAGCTACAAACAAATCTTTTGGGTCACCTGGAGTATGAACTGTTTTACACAAATCAATCCAGCTGAGGAATAAAGCAGCCGTGT